TATATATATATATATATATATTAGTATTTATTCATGAAAAGGTTTTTTTTTTTTTTCACACAATCTTGCTTGTAGTAGAGAAAAGGCAAGAAAAACAAACCCTGGAATTCCCACAACACGCAATTTGTTTATTTCACTTTTTTTTTTAGTTCATACATGAGAACCAAATATTTATATATTCTCTAAACTGGTGGATTCGTCATTATTTAATGTCATTACTTCATAATTATCTTTCCACTGCAAAAAATAACAGATATAGGCAGCAGCAACGGCGAATCCACTAGTTAATATGCACCCATATGTGTAGTCACCATTTGTTGCACCCTGCATAGCCGATAGAATGGGGGGCCCAGCGAAACCACTTACACATCCTCCCAGAAAAACCAAAGACATAGAGGTACCAAGATTAGCCCCATAAAAAATATGAGCCAATATTGAAGAGTAAGTTGATAGTGTAGCGGAAGCAAACAACGCCAATACCATTAATGCAATTAATAACTCAATATAAGTGGTGGCTAGAGCCAAAAAACAAAAACCAATGCCTGTGACAGAGCAACAAAGACAAAATACAGCCTCAGAACCAAAATGGGCAGAAATTAGTCCACCAGAAAAAGACCCAATAGTTTGTGCTATACCAAACCATGTAATAAGACGTCCTGCAGCACCTGGATCAATCGGAGCTTCGTCCTGATAGACTGTTCCATCCTTTCCCATGGCGAGTGCCAATGGAACACAAACATATATGGCAGCATAAAAAGCAAATGAATAAAATATCTGACACACGAAGGAGGCTACGAAAATACGTGCAAAAATAAATTTTAAAACCTCTTTTGGTTTCAAATGACTGTTACGAAAAGTCCTTTGTCCCATAAAAGAAGTTACCATCGTAGACCCCACAATAAGTTCCTCCTCATTAACCTCTTGAGAAGGAAGGGAACGTTTTTCAACCAGCAATGTACCAATCACTCCAGATGATACAAGCAATGTTAGTATGCGAAAAGTGGACCGCCAACCGTATTTACCCAAGAAAGGTCCACAAAAAAGAGGGAAAACAACACTTCCACAACCTCCACCTGCATAAACAATTCCTATAGCTGTAGCCCTGTGTTTTTCAAACCATGTTGAGGTGGCCGCCGCCGTAGGTATCATCGTCATACCGGCACTAAGCGAAATCGGAAGGGCAAAAAAAAGTGATACTCCAATACCCGACTTTGCAAAATATGAACTCATTAGAAGAGCAGCATAAATACCCGCCATAGCAAAAGATAGTAATACTTTAGGGTGTATACGATCTGCTAACACACCGCCCACCATCCCAAAAACTGAGGCAAGACCCATAGAAATTGAGCTGCCTAGACTTAATGTCGTTTGGGAAGGGTAGCTTAGAGTTTCATCATTCATCATACTGTCAAGAAATATGGTAAAGGAGTTCATGGCACCGAAAACTGAAAACTGAACTAAGAACGATCCAAAAGCAACCAACCACCCTAACGGGTGATCCACTGGTTTTTTGCCGTACATAGAGAATCTAAAAAAAAAAAAAAAAAAATTATCATTATAGCAGAAGAGAAAATAACTTTGAAGACCAAGAGATCTATCACGTTTTGGCAAAAATTACACGAGGGAAACTTGCCTCTGAAGCTACATCAATAGTTTAACAAGTTTACAATGTACAAGAAGTAAAAAAAATAAAAATGAAAAAAAAAAAAAAGAAATATATGTATAACCTGTTCTTCCCAGGTTTCCCTACGTCATCAATAAAAACAAGTGTTATCCAATTTAGCGTCTACACGGAAACAAACAGATCCCAGCATTCTCCAAATACGATGCATTTTATGTACTACACTATATAGAATGAACTATTTTCATATTACTAGGAAGACAAGGTAGAAAAAGAAAAAAAAAAAAGAGAAGAAGAGAATAGTAAAGGAAGTAACATTTGAGGTTTTTTTTTTTTTCAAATGACTAAGAAGAATAAATACATCAAACTTCAATAGATATTCAGTAGAAAATGAACGAGTTCTTATATCAGTATGTTAAACGATTATACTTCATTTCTTTGCTGCTGCAAGAAAACGTTCCCATAAATCATCATCATTAGACTCATCAGTAGATTGAGGGATGATTGTTGTAGATTCATTTTTATTTTTCTTCCGTTGTTCCTTTTTCTTTATAGCGGTTTGTTCTGCAGAAAATGTAGCAACAGTCGCATTGAGGTTAGGTTTTTTAGCTAATAACTTTTTTTTACTTTTATCACGTTGTTTATTTACTGAAGGTTCATCGTCTTGCACCACACTATTCACTTCTTCATCTTCCTCTTCCGCTTCATCATCACGATCCATGGTACCATCCACAATATTAAAGGAGCTATAATGCTCTATTAACTTCATATGTTTTGTTTCTGGCAAATCCAGCGCATCACGGTAGTGCTTGTTAGAGTCAAAAGGTGGTGCACTAAACCAAGGGATTCGTCCTCGTTGCCAGTCATAAAGAACCATACGGGCCGCGGCCTCGGTATCAGGTTCTCCTCCTGTTACAAGTTTACCCCGAAGCTTTGCCAGTTTTTCAAGAAAGTCATTCACATCTTTCCACTCAGAAACACCATAGGTAGCAACAAGATCTTGAGGTTTAACAATTTCAAGAACAGTGTTAACCACTTCTGTTTTATCAGCATTTCCCAAACGTTCTACACGAACGACACCCTTTAAAACAGCTTGAACATCATTGTTTGTTTCACGGTCATAAACTACACCTGGACAGTCGATAAGAAAAATAGTTCTCGTAAGAGCGACATACTGCCATACTTTTGTTTCTCCTGGAATGGGTGCAACTTTGCAAACTGATTTTCGTCGCAGTGTATTTATCAATGAACTTTTACCGACGTTGGGATAACCAATCACACCAACAGAAATAGGTGTTTTCGTGCGTTTACTACCTCGATGGGTAACGTTTTGTAGCTTTGCAAACTGTCGAAGAAGTGAAATCACGCTACCCTTTCCAAACGGGTGGTTAACACTTGCATGAAATGCTATAGTTGGATAATCCTTACTTAATACCTGAAGCCATCGTGCAGTTGCCCATAAAGGAATAAGGTCGCATTTATTCAATACAAAAACGAAATGTTTGTATTTTTTTTCTTTGCGCATATATTCTTCAATGAAAGAGCTACGAGTACCCAGGGGATCTCTAGCGTCCAATACGTACAAAACAACATCAGAGCTGTCAATAACTTTGTAAAGTTCATTCCAGATACGATTAGATTGACCCTTTTTAAATAATATTCGATTTTTTGAACGATCATCACGAAGAGTTTCATCGTTCTTAACAAGATTACGATCACCATCTTTTTTTTCTGTAATATATTCATCACTCTTTTCCACTGCCCTTTTGGCAAAGTTTTCCATATCAACAGATTCAAGGCGAACTCGTTTTCGATTGGCTTTTTCACCAAAGGTTTTATCCCATTCCATTTCCTGACGAATACTACCATCTTCTTTCGTACTTGTTTCAAGAAGACTCAATGGAAGCTTCGATTGTTTGATAATAATACTGTACGGATCTCTATATTTGGCGCCCATCTCTTTTCGAAAATTCTGCAGAGCTTCTTGACCAATAACTCTGGTATTACCAAACCATCGACGATCAGGTGCCACTCGTGCCATTTGTTGTTCAACACGATCTGAGGCTTTCAAAACGCTTCCCTTTATGATGTGACCCTTCTCATCACGAACAATTCTAGATGTATACATCTTTAATCGCTTGATGGTCCGTTGATCACGAAGACTAGTTTTCGTGGGATCAACACGACGGTTAACATTTGTGGGAGGAAGAACCCCATTTCCGGCCTTTTTCCCAGGTTTACCCATTATTACTTATTCTCCTTACGTTTTCTCCCACTTTTAGAACCTCCAATGCAAAAAAAAAAAAAAAATCACCTTCGTTCAATAGAAGAAGTTCCACCAGAAGAAAAAAAAAAAGGAGTGAGAAAAAAAAAAATGCTCAGTGAAGATAATGCTAGTTATGTTTCTTTTCTTACTTTCTTACCACTGGTTCAATGGCCTCCTTCAGCCATGGATACCGGACGCTTGTGTTTTCCAAATCCTCTGGGGTTATTTCCACATCCTCTGGAACTCCCATTACCTTATGAATAATCTCTTCTTCATCATCATTGCGCACCTTGCACCCGAGACCAAGACAAAGCAAGTCATAAAGCCCCTTCATATTGTACTTTTCCGCGGCATTTATGGTCTGAAGGTAACATCCGATGTTTGTTTCATTTGCCAAACGAGCCTCAAAAAATTCTGCATCCCATTTAGACTTTAAAACGTACAGAACATTTCGGTAAACACACGGCCTCACAATATCGCTTTCTGCAACACCATCCATTCCGTACTTTTCTGCCCAGGAAGCAAGAGTATCAAGAACTGCGATCGGGTACTCAAATTCAACATTTTTTTCTTCATCACTTAGTTCGATGAACTTGCACTTGATCGCTACCTCCTTTTTCATACTCGCATACTTGCCATCCGAACAATGAATTACCACGTCTGTGGAACGATTAACATGAGACAAGTCATAGAGCGCGTGAATAGGAGATTTATAAAAAGGCATACCTTTACAAACAAATTTCTTTTCTTTTTTTTTTTGCTTTAGTAAAAATCAGAGAAAAAAAAAAGAAGAAATGTGCCTTTTAAACTGAAACAGTATAAGTTTTTTTTTAAATGAAACTCTACAAATAGAAAAAAAAAAGCCAGACATAATAATAGAAAACAAAAAGAAAAGCTGTATCCTAATATAGAGAAAGCATTCCATATTAGATGTGAGATATAGGAGCAAAACCACTTTTAACGTTTACAAAAGAAGAGAGAAATTAACGAAGACACCAAAAACGAATCTGTAAGAAGAAAAGAAACCCACCCCAACAGCAGAAGCAAAAGGCAAAAAAAAAAAAGAAGCCCCAAGCCAATAGAACAAACGATGACCCTTCTCAAAGCACCTGCTGATCCACAATTGGAAAGGGGGATATCAAAGAAAAAGGGGAAGCATAGATCGAAGCGAAACAAAACAAAACAAACAAAAACAAAGAGAACGAAGAAAACGACCGCCAAGAACTGCCCATCCCGGTATTTCTCTTTTATATCTTCCACCCTCTCTCTCTCTCTCTCTCCCTCTTGCCGTCTTTTTTCTTCTTTTTCTTTTTTTTTTCGCGACCCCCGCCGTCGGTGGGCTGAAAAGACTCCTGGGACGACCAAAATTCCAAAGACCGGGCCCGGCGCAAGCGCACCGGAAACTTTCAGGCGGGCCGAGGGGTCTGGTGAGACCCGCCCCGGGGGGAAAGGGAAAACATGGGAACCAAACAGGAAGGGAGGCGGGGGCGCGGGGTTTTTCTCCGGGCTTTTCCCGGGAAGTCGCGGGGTCCGGGGTGGGAGGGATGGGGGGAGGGAGGGGTGTGCCCCGCGACGGCTCGAGCGGGCCGCGGCCTCCCAACCGACAACTTTTTTGGGGAGTAACTAACCCCTGTTTTGTCTCCATTCTCTATTTTCGCCCGCCGAGGAGGAGGGTAGGGGGCGTGGGAAAGAAGAAAGGGAAGCAAGCGCAAACCAACAAAACGAGGCGCGAAAACAATAAACGATAAAATGGCTAGAATGAAGAAAAGAAAAAGTTTATGTACGAAATTATTAGAACTTAATTCTTCTCCCCGTGTCTTCGGCAAAGCTGGTGAAGGGCTGGATATTTGAATAGCTGAAGACACGTATCTTTGTATTGAGAACGTTCGATGATCCTAACGGTCTCTGGCCTGATTCCGTCTTTAATTATGCTGTGTTTGGTTAGCCAATGGTCAGTGATAACACCAGATATTATTGGCGCACATCATTACTCTATTTTCTATCATTACTCTATTTTCTATCATTACTCTATTTTCTTTGTAAGCAGAAGATATTTATGGTGATGAAGGCAAGTGTTACCAGAGACGTCATTAGTGGAGAAGAAAAGAACTAATGCACGTTAATGTGAGGTATTTATAATTTCATTGCCATCTGGCTAAGCCCTTTTATGATCCATCTCTTTACTCGGGAGTATGTAAAACAAACAAACAACAAAAAAAAAACCAATTGAATGGTCTATTACTAATCCACGGGTTGATTCATATTCTTTTAAAGTGTATTGATGGAATGCTATTTTAGCAGGGATCACATGTACAAAAGGTACATGGAGAGAATGAGGATCACATGGTTGGGATTTTCTCTTGATGATGATCCTCATGCCCCTTGGGTATTAAGGAAGGAAAAAAAAAAAACTGGGATTTAACCGGAGGAACCTTATTGATTATCTTTACTATTACTAACATTCTACAGCAGACGATCAATGTAGTGTTTTGTATACTTACTTTACTTTTTGGAAGTTTTTTAGATAATGAACTAGGATGAATAATTATTCTCATATTGATACTGAAAAAGGACACTTAAGAAATACTTTAGTAAATAAGTGTCTCTTCACAGATCTCTTTTCACGTTCGCACTACATCACTTGTTCTTTGCTCTTTGATATGGGTTTGGTTTTGATTCTTGGTAAGAAGCAGGATGTTACGGAGAATCGTTAGGAGACGAACTGAACTGCTAGTGGTTCTCTTTTTTGTGTCGTTAAATGTCATCTTTTGGCGACTAACAAACTTAGAAAAAGAGAATTTTTTTCGGGAACAAGAACAAGAACAACAACGAAAACAACATCAACAACAGGAAGAACAACAACATGATAATCAGCAGAAAGAGTTTAAGGCAAACATATCGATATCTTCAACGTCTCCTTCAGGGCATATTCATTCATTGGATTTTCAACCTTTTGTAAATACCTACAACATAAACTACACGAGTTACCTTCCTGCAACGATTTCCGTTATTGTAAGATATTATGCCAATACGAGGGAAAAAGATAGCCTTTCAATGATGCTTCCTCCTCGACATTATCAACAGATGACCTGTCCCCAGCTCCGTTATCAGCATCAAATAGAGTACAATACGGTTGTACAACGTATCAACTTTACAGAGGGTCCAAAGTTTAGTGTACATGGTTTCTTTTATGACCCATACCCACTTTGTGGACGCTATCTTTTGTCGTATCTGACAAGTGAGCAACATCCCTATTTGTTTGCCCTTCGCGTAAAATCATCAGGCACAACAGTATCAAATGATATTCTTACAGTTCCTACAGGGGAATGGAATAGTGATGTTTTTATTGAGCAGTGTGGAGATTGTTTAGAGACAGCTACAGGTAGTGATGACAAGGACCCTTGTGCTGTGGATATCCTCTTTATGGCACGTTTGATGAATGACAACCGCGTTTTGCATGCAGAGGTTCTACCTAGTAATGAAACACTGAAGGATAGAAGAAAAATAGCGAGAAATATTCGTTTTTTTGTAACTGATCCAGGAGACTACATTTTAGAAGTAAAGATGGTTCATGTTAATGGAACAAGTGATGATGTTCAGGTTCCCAAAACTTTGGGTTTTGTGGGTACAAGAGCTACGGTGAATAACCGAAAATCTTTTCTCTATGGAGGGGTTTGTGATATACAGCGCAATATATATGGTAGCCCACTCCTGGTGCGTGTTGTTGCTGTAAAGAATACAGAAAGAAGTACTATAACCCCCTTTTGCAATATTTCTACAAACTACAACACAAGTGAAGGTGGTCAATGGGTACGCTTTGTTGATGGAGCCGATCCAGATACTCCAGAAGGTGCTCCACATTCATTGGCAGCCAACTGTACTTTGGGTGATCGCTATTGTTATGGAAATCCTAATTCACTGACTGATGCCTGTGGCCACAACAATCATTTGGTGTGGGTGCCAAGCACATGTCGTCTACGTATATTCGCAAGGAAGTCTGGAGGCCCTTCCACGGGCTGTCTCCGAGTACCACCACTTCAAGGACGAATGTCGTTTATGCTTCTTATTGGTGATAGTGTAATGCGCGAATATAAGTCAAATTGTGATGCATTAAGATTAGGACAAAGGGGTTCAAATTTAACGTGTGTATTCGCCAACATTGCACCAGAGGGTAAATATTTTTCTCAAAAGTATGCGCATTCTGTAGTCAGAGCAATGATTGATAATGTTGAAAACACGAGACCATTAGGTGTGTTGGTAACTAATTTTGGCATTCAACATATGATTGGTAAAGCAACAACTTCTCAGTGGATCATGTTCGTTGATGCTTTTATAGATGAATGGTGTAAACGGAATGTAACAGTTCTGCGGGGTCCCTACACAACCATGTCTCCTTCTGGATCACCTAAATTTCCTAGAGGTGATGAAATGGACGGTTCTGAATGGCAGCTTTACATGGATAAACAAAATCGACGCAGCCTTACTATTATTAATTACACAGAGAAGGAAGTAAAAGATCGAAAATTTCCAGCTTACATGGAATGGGCAGTATGGCTCTCTCCACCAACAGTACACTATGCTCGCCATGGGATGACACACCAACGTGAGTTACTATGGGATCGTTTGGCGTATGAACGCCTACAAAAAATTGGTTTCATTCGCATTGATACTGTGATACCGACGCTATCAAGACAAGAAGGATCTTGGGATGGTCTACATCAATTAAGTCAATACGGTAAAGTTCAGTCAGCATGGCGCAATAGGAAAGCAGCAACACACAAGTTTAATGGAGGTGTGTCATTCATGCTTTTCCTGATTTTAACAAATGTTATTTGTTTTTCATAGTAGAAAACGGCGCTTTCTTATTTATCAGGTCTGGTAATGGTGTTTTCAAGGATCACGTCCACCACCTTATTATAGTGTTCTCATAACGATTTACATCTAGAAATTCTTGCAATGAACCCACTACCTCCTCAATGGATTGAGATTTAATTATAATAAATACAGCTTTCAGTGTTTTCTCTCAACTTTTGGCTCTCTTGCATTCACTCAATTTATATTCACAGGGTTGATTGTAAGTTTTTCACTGGCTTTTTTCTTCCACGCAGCTGAAATGACTATTTATTGGAAATACGCATCGGGCGCCTGCAGAACGAAATTATATATATATATATATATATATATGTTGGATTGTTTTTTTTTTCGCTAGAACATTCCCCCCCCCCAAAAAAAAAAAAAAAAAAAAAAAAGTGATCTAAAACAGACGAAGAGAAAAAACAAACAAATGGAAAGATAATGGACATAATAATCTTTTTGTTGAACGGGATTCCCTCTTGATAAAAGACAGCAGTATATGCCTTTCTCTTTTTCCTTCTTTTCTGGGTTAACTCTATATTCTGAGTTTGCGAGAGGAATGATTTTTCCTTGCGATTTTGGTTGGGAAAAAAGTCTAATAAATTCTTCTTAAATTTACCATTGTAGAGATCACTGTAATGCGTAGGGTTGGAGGGGTTACCCCACCCAATCCCCTCTGGTTCCTTGCCGGAGGTGCGTTAGAGGCGCTTTCAAGACCTTATTTTCGTCATTTTTTTTTGTCCATCTATAGGCTTGCTTTCAATGAGACTTTGGGAAAATGGTAAACCAGAGGGATATCATCTTTTATTTTACATGTTTTACAATCATTCTATTAGGAAAAACAACAACCAGAAAAAGTTTATTGTTGTACAAGGGCCACGTAGCACTCATTATTATTACTATTTTTGCTATATCTGTGTTTGTTGCGATCACCATAAAACACCAAATCTACCCACAGTACATTGCTGTTGATATTTAAAGTATGTCTCATTCGAGGGTGCGTTGATATCTGCCCTCATTCTTTTTTTTTTTTTGGTATAACTACCATTCTTCTCTTTCTGAGAGTATTACTGTTGATGTATGCATGTGTTTAATTCTCTGCAGGCCCACCTTGGTGGTAATGTACATTACCATTATTCTTACAAACTTTACTAATACTCACAGTTAGGTGCCTATTTGATTTTTTCTCCTTTTTCTTTTTTCTTGAATTATTTTTTTTTTGTTTTAGAAAAGCAAAATACCAAATCCCCATTTTTTTGTACAGGCATTTTTTTTTTTTTTTTACGCTAAATACAATGGAAGACCCTGTCACTCTGCTCTCGAAGCTAACTGTGCAGGAGAAGGCCGACCTCTGCAGTGGTGCTGATATGTGGCATACTAATGCGGTGAACCGTCTCGGTGTGCCACAGCTTTATTTAACAGATGGTCCTCACGGGCTGCGGATGTTTTGGGCGGACGAGATGGACACTGTGGATATTGCGTCTCTATCGACAACATGCTTCCCGACCGCTGTTTGTATGGCGTCCACATGGAACCGTGAACTAATACATAAGGTGGGTTGTGCTTTGGCAGAGGAGTGCCAGGCACATGATGTGGCTGTTCTGCTTGGACCTGGTACGAATATAAAGCGATCTCCATTGTGTGGTCGAAACTTCGAGTATTACTCGGAGGATCCATTCCTCAGTTCTCGCATTGCAGCAGCTCTCATCGAAGGTGTTCAGAGCGGGGGTGTGGGAACGGCGATAAAGCACTTTGCAGCAAACAACCAGGAGACCAACCGTTGTACCTGCAGCAACTCTGTCGTTGATGAACGAACCCTCCGAGAGATTTATTTCGCCGCTTTTGAGTATCCTGTGAAGGTGGCTAAACCGTGGATGTTAATGTGCTCATACAACAAACTCAATGGAGTGTATGCCTCAGAAAACGAATGGCTCCTCAAGAAGGTCCTTCGTGAAGAGTGGGGGTACGAAGGCGTTACTGTCTCTGATTGGGGCGCTGTGGACCAGCGTGTGGAGGCGTTGAGCGCTGGTCTCGATCTTGAAATGCCAACCAGCTTCGGAATAAACAGTGCCAAAATCGTTGCTGCTGTCAAGAATGGTAAGATAAGTGAAGAGGTCCTGGATACCTCAGTAAAGCGCATTCTTGAACTGAATCTCAAACGGC